AGGGACAATTGTAATTTTTTCCACCTTTCTAAGTCTTGCTTAGTTTTATTAATCAAATTAATATAATTGTCTTCTTTGATGGACACACACCTCGCTGTTAAATGTATACCTAAACATTTCACTTTTTTGATGATTTGAATACCCAATTTCTTCGTTAAATCCTCTTTCAAATCGGGTGTCATATTTTTAACCAACATTTGTCATATTTATTTTCAGGCCCATTACTTTCCCATACTCTGCCAATTCCTCAATAAGTTTCACATCAGACTTTAGATCCTCTAAAACAAAAACTAAATTGTCCGCAAAAGTCTGTAACTTAAATTGTTCCTTTTTAATTTCTAATCCCTTTATATGTTCTTCTTTACGCACATTCCTAGCTAAAACTTCTAGGGTTAATATAAACAATAGCTATGTTGTTGTGATGATAAAAGGGCTGGTGGATTATTCTTAGGTGTCCCCCCCCCAAAAAAATCAAGTTAATTAGTCCCCCAAACCGCCCCCCCAAAAATATTTTAGCTATTTACAAATATACAGACGCTAATACCATGGTGCTGATTTTGCCATTTTCAGTAATCATACTGTCCCGATGGTGCAAATGAGCAAATGGCTTAGCTGCTCCCCATGATTCCAAGTATCTAGTCATACGAACAGAGGCTCTCATTTTAGCTCCTTCTAGGGTGTTTCGAGTTCGGAAATGATGTTGTGGGCTTCGTTTTTCTTCCTAATTTGAAAATAAGTACAAAAGAGAAATGGGTGAAATCATTGACCACTTTCCTAGAAACCTGAATTTTTAGACCAGTGCCTTGTTCAATATTTTTCAATATTAATTTGTCACTTTTCAGAACTATTCCAGTCAAACCTTCATGATTGACTACTTGTAGATTATCAAACATAAATACTTCACTATAGAACAGTGATGGAGAACCTTTTTGGCACAGAGTGCCAAAAAGGAAGCATGAACACTTATTTGGGCCACAATCCAGAAGAGGAGCTGCTTAGGGGGCATGTGTACGCGGAAAATTAACTTTTGGTTTTGGCCGCGCGCATGCACTCAAGACAATCAGCTGGCCGGCGCACATGTTCCCACTGGAAAATGGAAGACCAGTGCCAGTTTCCAGCACTACCGCACACACAAAGGCCAGCTGATCATCACAGGTGCATGTGCACCAGAAACCTGGAAGAGGAACAGGTGGATGCCACGTGTGCCAGGCGACACGGCTCCGCATGCTACTTCGGGCACATGTGCCATAGATTAGTCATCACGGCTATCAAAGAAAAACGATGTTACTTACCTTAGGATTGATTATAAAGAAGGTTTTCACGTTATGTTCCTTGAGGTATGAATCCCTTGCATCACCATCCCCTTCTTGCACTTTATATGCTCCATTCAAGTGTGCCAAGGTGACTGAAGTAATGTGAACACGGCTGAAATTATGGTTTATTTTAAAGTGACCATTATACAACATTAAGAAAATAGCATTTATTTTCCTTTTAATTATAGCTGAGAATCATTTCCTCAAGATTTAGATACATAACTATATAAGAAATGAGTAATGGAAATGCAGTATATAACTCAAACTGAGATTTGATTCCAATGACAAAACTGTAACTAAGGCTTGCTGCTCTATGTGCCAGTGGTGAAGCATTTGAGTGGATTCCTTATGGGACATACAATGACAGCTTGTTAAGGAAAAGACTCAGAAACATTCCACGTGGATATCATTTTTAATGTGGTAAGAATGTGATTCCTCTATTGTAATTTGACCCTCACATCCCAGCTGACTCTTGATGAAAGTCAAGCCCACTTTTAATCTGCACTTCAGAAAACATGATTTTTAATGCTTGCTGAACTTGCTAAATTGTGGGGACTGAGACACCAATAAATAATAGTTAATCTATTTAACAGAACATTAAATCTTAATATTTGAATGTAGCTTCAAGATTTTGGATCTGCCGTGCATACATAGAACAGTGCCTTCAAACACTATTCAGTTTCAGTAAATGGAAGAAATCTGTATTTGCAGTAGTTCAATTTGCAATACCCTGAGTGAGTAGTATTTTTGGATGGATTAATATGTGCAAGCATGAACATAATTGTATAGTGTACTGTTTTATGACCAAGTAACACCATAACAATCTCAAATTACCACCAGGATTATTCTCTATATATGAAATATATCTAAACACATATAAGTTAAATAATGATCTTACCCAGGAATTCCTCCAGCTTCCATGTGATTGGCCAGTGTTACATCATGTGACCACACATCATATTGCCATTTTTGGAGTCCAATCACACCGCAAAGGACATTCCCAGAGTGTACGCCCACTCTCATATTAATATCAACTCCAGTTGCATCTCTCACCTTCCTATTATTCAGAAACAATTCATGGAAGATGTTCAACATTAGTCTTTCAAAAGTCAAACCAATGCCATACAATTTGCAATAGTCAACTCTAGAAATTTTAATAGATATGCATTTGCAAAAAAATTGAAGTAAAACTATTTTAGCTGTTTTAAGTGCTGATTTAATGTTTCTCTGATTAATATAAACATTTGTGTTTGTGTGTGTGTGTATGTGTGTGTGTGTATGTGTATTCTGGTGATTAGCAAAATGCAGAAAAGAAATAAAAAGCAGAAAAAACCTAAGACAAGTACTAATAAGGGAAATCTAAACATACCTAGTTTCTACCAACCCCGTTCGTGATGTTTTATTTATTTATTTATTTATTTATTTATTTATTTATTTATTTATTTATTTATTTATTTATTGTCTACCTTTGTGAATTATCCTTGTTTTCACCATACCCTTCAGCATTGCCTTTTGCCCCCCCTCTCTTTTTCATGGTCTTATCAATTCTATCCAACCACAACTTTCTTGACCTACAACTTTCTATTCAGTGCATTCACTCTTCCTTCATCTATTTGTCTAGTTATTTGATCTTAATTTCTTCTCTCTCTACATCCAAGTCATTTCAATATACTTCTTTCATACCAATCACTCATTTTTATATTCAATTTACATTTATAATCCGTTTATTCTTGATCATATCTCTTCTTCTATTACATATACTTCTTAAGTACAATAAATGTTCTCTTCTTCCTATATCCCATTTCTTATCTATAAACAAATCCATAAAACATTGTCATTTCAGTCCTAGTATCAACACAAGTCCACTAAGGGTTATCTATCTTAACCCCAATCAAATAAACCTGCTTTATATTCTTTCCCTTTACTTCTAACAATCTTAATCTTTAGTCCACTCAAATAATGTTATAGAACTTGATTTCTTTTCATTTTTTTTCTGTTTCCCCTTCTTATATGATTCTTCAAAATTTTATCAAGCCTTCTTTTGTAATCCAATATAGAAAAATTATCTAGCTCATTTTTTGGATTAGTGTTTGCATATCCCTTTTAATTATTAAGATATTAGCCAGTTTATTTTGAATGTCTAAGTTATCTTTTTACAGTCTAAGTTGCAATCTTCCACAAATAATGTTCCCCATCAGTTGGCCTAATAGATATTAAACTCCACCATCCACTCTGGCTTCCATTCATTGAGGTTTTCACATAATATTGGGTTTCATCTTTGTAAGCTGCCTGGAGTTATTGACTGCGAGTTGTGCGGCCATATAAATTTTCCCAAATAAATAATGCTTTCTATTCAATTTGAATATTCAATCCTGGCTTGCTAAATTTACATTTAGTTACAGCTCTTCCTTGTAAGAGATGGGTGCATAGATCTGTTGGCACCCGCTGCCCTTATGGCTAAACCTTGTTCTGTTTTAGCATTTAAATGGTGTTTAGCAATAGCAATAGCAGTTGGACTTATATACCGCTTCATAGGGCTTTCAGCCCTCTCTAAGCGGTTTACAGAGTCAGCATATCACCCCCACTGTCTGGGTCCTCATTT